CTGGAAACTACTTGGGCGAGAAACGTTTTGCCTAATTTAGCTCAGAGGTCTCCTAGAGACATGAGGATCTTTTACGTGCCGTAAATCTACGACACGGGACCCACGGCTTAAGTTCCCTGAATTTTTCCGCCCTTAAAAATTCCACGACCTCCGCCGGGTTTGAATCCGCGTATCTTGAATCATGAGGTGGGAACCTTACTCCTAGACTACGGAGGCCGCTGAAAAATCATTAAGTAAACTACAAATATATTTTCTTTCTCGAACCTTGGTTTTTGGCTTTTTAGTGACGCTTCTCCACCTATATGTTTTATGGCGTTGATCGTAGGATGGCAGGATGGTTATGATAAGTGACTGGGGAACAATATAGAAGAAATTGGTCGTGGTGTGTTGAAATGCACAATTCCGTCATCTCCTTGCAGGAACTGAGGATAACCACGAATAACCTGAGGATGTGAACATGCATTATAACCGGAGGTCTATGTTACTTGAGTTTCGCCAAAATCTGAGCAGTGTTCCTTGTTTCAGGCCATGAAAATCCTGTCCAAGAAGAAACTGCTGAAGAAGGCTGGAATCTTCGGTGAGTAGCATTCCGCCTGCATTTCAGACTATACGCATCACAATGCTGTCGGAGGAGTTGCCTATGCGACACGATGAAAGGGAGTCGGTGGTTTCGTTACATTTTCAGACCAAAATCGTCAGATATAGAGACAACATAAAAACATGGCGTTTTCTCGAGTCCTTCATCTTAATATTCCTCTTCTTCGTCGTCCTACATCCTTCTAATTTCTTCTTTCATTTTTTCTTGCCTTCTATTCCTCTTTTCATTATCTTCTTTTTCCTTTTCTTCTTATATTCCACCTCTTTTCTTCTTCTCCCCTCTTCTTCAGGGGACAAGGTCGTGGGTTCGATTCCCATTGAGATTATTGGAATTTTCAGTTGATCTAATCCTTCCAGTCGCAATATGTCCCTGGGGTCTACTCAGCCTCTAACAGAAATGAGTACCATGGATCGTCCTGGGGGTAAAGCGCGGCTGGTGCGTAAGGCTGACAACCTCACCGCCATGTGTGAGCCCATTGTCTAGAAAATGTGGGAGCCTCGATGTCTCACAAACCTATGTGTCCCCACGGCCTGTTATAGGGATAGCTTTATCTTATTTACCTTAACCTTCTTCCAGTTTCTCTTCTTAGTTTCCTTCTTTTATTTCCCCTTCCTCATACTTCTACTTCCTAATCTCCTGTTCCCCTCCCTCCCCCTTTCTCTTAATCTTTGTTCGATCTTTCCCGTCCTACAAGAAGGGCTTAGTGGAAGAACTGGTCAAACACTAAATTTTCGAAAAATAGGTTATGAGTATTCTCGTACTGAACAAGCTTCTGACAAGCAGCAGTTGAGGGCCTCTTTTGTAGTCTATTCCAAATCCCCATTTTCCCTCGCTGTTTTATTTTCCTGCTAAGATCAAGCTTCATTAGAAAAAGAATGAATTACTGGAGGGACATGCTGCAAGAAGGGGCTGTGTTTATAGAGAATCTCTCTTTCTGTCTGCAGGCCGGGCGGCTCCTAATAGGAACAAGTCGCCGGTGAATCCCCTGGACCGAGTCTACCGAGAGATCGCGATTCTGAAGAAGTTGCACCACCCGAATATTGTGAAGCTGTTCGAGGTACTGGACGACCCCGTGGAGGACCATCTCTATCTGGGTGAGAAGCAGGTTCTCGTTCTTGGGCTGTCGGAAATGCATCATCAGTTGTACTCTGACTGAAGTAACTTATTTGTTAACTGTTTTTGCAAAAAGTGTACGAAATGAACATTAAACGAACATTAAACATTAAACGTTTTCGAGTAATCGTAAATCTTGGTTCTTATCAGCCCAATATGATCTCTATTTTCTCAAAGAACTTCTAAACTTTGTTTTCCCGTCTCACGTCTCTGCGCTTCACAGCGACCTATCCACCGCGGACTGCGAGGCGCATAGGAATTTTGGCGATGAATCAACCGATAACGTTTGGAATGAAGGGAAGTAATTAACTTGTGGACCATTTGTCGGCATTATGTTTCACGGCTAGCAATGTGGTTCATGCATGGTAATTTGTTTATGATTTGTCAGCAGTAGGCAGCAGTTACAGCTCCATTACCCATTTAGTGAGCAGTGCGGTACGTCACCGTGCGGTATACTTCACAGCAACGTGTATTTCTCTACGGCACCTATGTGAAATATATATATAATACAAAGTGTCGGCGAAGATTTCAACGTAAATTTCGTAATGTAAGGATCGCCAGCAGACAAAAAATTCACAGTTTGGTGAATAAACTTAGAACAACGGGACTCTTAACACCCAAGAAACAAAAACGTAAACGTCGAGTGTTTAGTGATAAGTTAGCTGCCATAGGGGCCACACTTGAATATACGCCTAGAAAATCACTGAAACGTCTAGATCAAGAGACTGGAGTGTCAAAGTCTAGTGCAAGAACGGCAACACAATTGCTGAAGCTTAGATCCTACAAAACAACAGTAATCCACGCACGCCTTGCAGCCACGCGATCCATTTATCAGGGTTAATTTTTGCAGTTGGTTCCTACAGTCTGTCGTCGAAGGTGAGGTCGAACCGCAATCGCCATTCTTTTCCGATGTAGCGTGGTTTCACTTGCAGGGATACATAAATACGCAAAATAATCTCTACTGCAGGTCACGGAATCCACATCTAACCCATGAAGTCCCGTTCCATCTACTGAAAGTTGGTGTCTGGTGTGCTGTAAGTGCAAGAAGGAATGTTGTACTTGTGTTTTTTAACGAAATAATTAATTGCGAAGGATATCTACATGTATAGGGACAGCATTTTCAACACCTCCTGTGATCTGTGAATTGTAACTACTTCATTCGAAAAGTTATGGGCCGCCATATATGCTGATTCATCTGCAAAATTCGCATGCGCCTCGCGGCAAGTAGCGCACCGGTCGCCGTGAAACGCAAAGCCATGGAACCAGTCAAGAAAATAAAAGTCCTCCCATAACACACACAGCTCCCTAGTTCAGTCACTACATTGACTGTGCTATAGGCTAGAATACCCGAGTATCAATTTCAGTTTCTGCTGGGGTAGATATTTTTCTTCTCCACGGCGTCCAAATCGGTTTTGGGGCCCACCCAGCCTACCACCAGTGGGAATCAGGGTCTCTTTCCTCGTGGAAAGGCGACAGTGGCATGAAACTGATCATTTATCTTCATCTAGTTCAAAGGTCAGGAATGTTTGGAGCATTACTTCCGTGTATAACGATGTGTCATCATCACACAGGGTTCGATTCCCGGCAGGGGAAACAATTTTTCTCTTCTCTACACTGTTGAGACCGGCTCTGAAGCCCACCCAGCCTCTTGTATAATTGGTACAGGGGGTTCTTTCCCCTGGGGTAAAGCGGCCAGGACGTGAAGGTGATGACTCATTTCCATGTAGCCCCGAGGTAAAGAATGGTAGAACTATAACTGTACTGCCCCAAACGTCTTCACGGCGTGGCGCTTAATTCATTGAGAACAAGAGAAACTTTGCCTTACTTTTATCATATGCTGAAGAGTTTGTAAAACATGTAACCGTTGATAATTCAAAGGAAAAACTATCCCTGTAACAGGCAGTGGAGGCCCATAGGGTTGTGAGACGTCGAGGCTCCCACATTTTCTATACAATCGGCTCACAGATGGCGGTAAGATTGTCAGCCTTACGTGCCGGCCGCCTTTTGCTCCCAAGGAAGATTCCTGGTACTTATTTCTGTTAGACACTGAGTCGACCCCAGGGCCATAGTGCGGCTGGAAGAATAAGGTCAATTGAAAAATCCAGTGACCTCATCGGTAATCGAACCGCTGATCTTCCGGCTTGTAGCATAATGCCTCAGCTAACTACGCTACCATGTACCGCTGTATAACAGGATCATAAAATATACTGAATTTTAAGAGAGTTTATTAAATATTATATTTCTTCTTTTCAGCATTTGAGCTTCTTGAACGTGGGGAGGTGTTGCAGGTGCCAACAGACACACCACTCACTGAGGAGCAGGCCTGGAAATACTTTCGTGATGTTGTCATGGGCATTGAGTATCGTGAGTGTCTGTCTCGTATTTGAACATTTGGTTTATTGTATTGGGCTTTGTGACGCTCAGAGGTAATGTTCAATAACCAACGGTTTCACTCCAGAGTATCCAGTCATTTGAAAAGTTTTGTCTATCATGATATAAGGCTTTGTAGTCCTTTGAAAGTCACCTGACTCTTTGCTTGCTACTTGCTTCATGTTGGTTTCTTGCTTGGCTTATTCATCAGCCCTGAAAATTTTGGTGACACCTTTCTCCAGAAAGAAACTGGTTGAGTTTCAATGGATTACATTGCATTATATCTCAGAAGATAGAACTCTTCAAATTCACTGCTGTGGGAGCCTCAAACTCCTACATATCCATTTGTTTAATGACAACTGCCTACTTTTTACAAGAGGCTGGAGGGACCCAAATGATAGTACTAAGAAGTTAGGAAATGTATGCATTATGTAACAGTTCTAATGGGATCGCTGCATTAGGCATAAAATATATGTTTCATTTTTCTCTGCAAAGTTTGTTGAAATATATTTTATTCTGATCAATATTAGGGACATGTGAGTGAAGATACACACAGGTCTTCATCTAAAGTGTCTGTTATTTCTGTCAAATTGGATATCCTTAATAAATGTAGTGAAAAATCCCAACATTAAATTTTATGGAAATCTGTCTAGCAATAATTGAGTGGTTACATGCAGACAGGCAGATGTGATGATGTTAATAGGTGTATTCCTCCAACACTTCTTGTAGACATGATAAAAAATGATATAGGTCTACAATTTAGAATAAAGAAGAATAATATGTATATATATTGGTATCACAAGAATACTTGGAATTATTGGGTTTTTGGACTTTTTCTACTGGATGATGGGAAAAAGTCCAAAACCCAGTAATTCTGAGTGTTATACACCATCATCAGAACCCTTTAAAATCTAAGAATATTTGGACATGTCCATATATACATAACATTCTCTGTTTCTTAATATTTATGGAGTTGTCCTGGTCTGTACAGAGGCTTACACTGAGGGGTACTGCAGCGATATCTCATCTTATTCTCTTTCACATGGGAACTTGTTTCGACCAACCAGGACTCATCTGTCCTCTCCACACCAAGAAGTAGCTTGTAATAGATGAAAACCACTAGATCGCTTATTTGGGCTTATCACTCACAAGAACTCTGCTATGCTCAATTCAATTCTTGTGATCTTAGTAGCCTCATAAAATATGGTAATCATTCAAAGACTGTGGAGCTACCACAGCTACAAATTAATCCAAGAATAGAGGAAATTACATTACAAGGATTTATATCATTTTCAGCATTCACTTCTTAGTCATGTTCACCAAAATTGTGAAAAGTACCTCTTAGCTTCATAATGTCTGTCCATCAGTCTGCCTGCATGAAACAACTTGACTCCCACTTGATGAATTTTCATGACAGTTTATGCTGGGAAGATTTACCAAAATCTGTTGACAAAATTATTATTTTTTTTAATCAGACAAAAATAATGGAGACTTTATACAAAATCCAAATTCTTTTTTTTAAGTATCTCACTGTCCCTTACTGCAGTGATGAGAATTTACCGAGTTTGCCATGGAAGTGTATCCATGACCACCCCATTCATTAATTTCACAATAGTTGACGATATTAATGACGGATAATGCCAGAATCTCACAATTGTACCAGCCCCAAATTATAGGTGAGGGTGATTGTGGAGCAATTGGTGAAATGAAGATTGGCAGGGGAACCCGAAGTACTCGGAGAAAACCTGCCCCAGCGCCACTTTGTCCACCACAAATCCCACTTGACCAGACCCGGGACCGAACCCAGGCCGCCGCAGTGGGAAGCCAGTGACTAACTGCTTGAGCTATGGTGCGGCCCATATTCTGTCTACTTAATTCAGTGTAGGAATATTATTCAGAAGTTGAAGAAAGATTCTCAAGATGAAATATGTAAACAGCCCCAGATCTTAATGTTATATCTATATTTGCTATCTTATTGTTAAGTAGAATAAATGAAGGTGACTAAGGTGGCATAGGCATGTCTATGAATGTTAGGACAAAGACATGTGTGCACAATTTTGGTTGGAAAATCTTGTAGAATCAAGCCACAAAACAGGGAGCTCATTGTTTGAAATGATAGAATATAATTTGGATTACTGCACTGTAATTCCTGATGGGACGTACTTATTTCCTTTTCTCTTCCACCCTCTGTAAACTGATTCTGATGCTCCCCAGCCTCCCATCTCATGATATCTGAGGTCTCTCTTCTGAGCATAAAGTAAGTGGAGTGTGAAACTCCATAAAACAGGGGTATCTAGAACACATGGGCTGATATCTCCATGCCTTCTGTGTGCTGTTGTGGATTTGTGTTTAGACCCCGGACCAACTTTACGTTTCCAGGGGTTATTTAAAAAGTAAACAAAATAACACTTTGTATCGAGGTTGTATCCATCAGTCTGTTTGTATCCTGGTATCCGAGACTAAACTGCTTGGCAAATTCACTTAAAATTTGATATAAAAAAATTCACTGAATCTGCTGGACAGTTCCATCTCTCAGACATATTACTCCATCATGATAAAGCTTTGTTTCACATAAGGCTATAAATTGAACGTTTATACTGTATTCCGTAAATGCTTTAACAGATTTAGTTAAATTTGACTTGGCAGATTTATATTGATTTGTATTTTGCACTTCCCATTTTTAAGTCTGCTTAATAAACTTCAGAGGACGCCATTAGTAATTTTATGTACTACATTCTGGAGTATACCCTTTCCAAACTTCTTCACCGTAGGGGGCATGGCACTCTGGAAGGCATGTAAGAGGCCATTGTCTTAGTAATATTTTTCACGTAAGTGTGCACAAAATTCTGATTTTACCATTGAACTGTAGAAGTCACCGAGTTTTACAACGCAATAGCTTGTGTTGTACATTGTGAAATGTATCCCCATCCCAGTAAGGACTGATTAAAACTACGCATTGCAAAAGATGTGATGTTTAAAGTGACTTATAGTTTACTCTTTCTTCCACAAAGCAGAAAATCTCAAAACTTCTAACAATTATATAGCATCAATGCTTGCATCAGTAAAGTTTGAGGTGAACTCAAATGTGAATTTGGATTGTATATCCTTCAATCTGCTACATTATTTTTAAAGTAACAATTGTTTTCCATTTACGTACAGTTTTGAAAATAAAAATATTCATTGATCTAAGATTAAACTTACGAATGCAAATTGAAATTAGACTAAATCATTTTTTTGAACAAAATTATTATGCCATATTTCAATTAGGGTCTGAGGTTTTGTGCTTAAAATGTTGAGAACCACTCTTACATAGCGCCAAATTCATGACCCTCTGGTTGTAGTGCACTATCAGCGTATCATCCACCGAGACATCAAGCCATCCAACCTGCTTCTGAGTGAGGATGGGCGCGTCCAGATTGCAGACTTTGGTGTCTGCAATGAGTTTCTTGGCAATGACGCAGCCCTGAGCAGCACGGCTGGTACACCCGCCTTCATGGCCCCTGAAGCTCTCACCAACAGCAAGTACAGTGGCAAGGTGAGAAACTAGCATTTTAATAAACAACATTTATTTATATCAACACGAAGAAAAAATGTGGTAATTGATATTGGTCACATACATTCGTAATTTTAATCATTCTCCTGTCAGATACAAGCCAGAAGATTTCCATCATGATCTAAGTTTCTGGATGTTGTTGTTACTGTGTGAGTTCCAACTCAGAAAGTGTATTGGGCTTTATAAATTAACTCTCATACTTACCAGTGCTTTGGGATATTAATTCAGTCTTGTGGTTATGAACATAGACTGGGGGTGTTTGAGAACA